CCGGCCCTAAGCAAGCAACTTAATGAGACCCTGTCTCTAAATAAAATTTAAAAAGGGCTGGGGATTTGACTGAATGGTTAAGCACCCTTGGGTTCAACCCCTAGTACCTCCTCTCCCCAAAAGAGAAAGAAATAAGAAAAGTACATGCCAGATTTCTAAAGCAACCAGAACCAGGAATGGTAAAAACAAGAATCTTTGCTTATATGCTACAGTAGCCTCAAGGGTTAAATTCACAGCATTTACCTCATGAATAGAACAGGAGATGAATAAGTGGCTTTTTTGAGGAATGTCTTAGCTGAATGCATGTATGTAATCTTGGGAAGAACCTAGAATTGGTTGGCTTAAATGAATGTTCTAGATATTTATCTGTTGACCAGTATCACATTGAAATTTATATTCCTATCAAGATGTTTATTCTCTTTCTATTTTTCTTTCTTTATAGACCCTAATGAATTGAAGACAATCCTTCAGGAGCTCAAGTACAGAATTGGCATTCAGTCGGCCAAGTTACTTCGGCAGCTGAAGCAGAAAGATAGGCTTCTGCATAAACTACAGAGGAACTGTGATATTGTGACTGCCTGCCTGCAGGCTGTGTCTCAGAAGAGAAGTAAGTACTGGAGAGGGGCAATAGGGATTGTGTTTTTGAATATTTTGAAAAATTCTGCATGGGTGTTTGTACCCTGGAACTAAGAACCATGAATAACTCAGCTTTTTTTTTTTTTTTCAGTTCAAATGAATACTTCATGCCTAATGTTACCTTAGTTTTATTATTCCAGACTTGAGGTAGTGCGTCACTTTGACAATGGTTATTTTTACTGGATGCTAAATAATGACAAAAATCTTTGTTTTTCAAATAGACATAAACTAAAAGCCATGTCCTTGTTCTCTTCATCTCTGTATTGCTCCAATAAGTGAATTAGACAATTGACCTAAACAAGGAAACTCTTGTAACAGGATCTTACAGCTTGCTCTGAAATCTCAAAAGAACAAAGCATTTTAACAAATGAAACCGGTCTCTTGGGTAATCCTCTTATGACTTATAGTTTCATGGCATGTTAATTGAGTTAAAAATAGTTGAATTATCTGATCCATAGTAATACTAGRTATGAAAGCTTGTGAATTAATTTTATAATATTCCATTTGATAGTTTTACATTTTACTCTGCTAACATGTCCCTGTTTTTGTTTTGTATTCTTTTGTTAACATGCAGCATGGCAGAACAGTATGTTCAGGTATGGTAAATATAGGCACTGATAGTATGTTTGATAAAATGCCTGTGGCGATTTTTCAGGTGCATGTGAAAATTGCCTTTTCTTGCTTGTTTATTCTATCACACTTTATATGCAAAATAGCACATTCTAGAGATTTTTTAAAAAAAATTCTAAATTAATGTTTTTTTAATGAAGCAATTTTTAGGGCTTGATTAGTTTCAGATAAAAAAATTAATGCCTTAAATATCATTGTCATATTTATCACTAAAAGAAAATCCTGTGTTTTCTTGCTCCTCTTTTGATTATATTGCTGTTTATTGTCCCCCAAACTATAAAGGTTTCACTTAATGTGTATTAAACAGAATGCCACTTGGTTATCATAATGATGCCGCTATGGACCATACTAAGTGGGAATGTGATCGACAAGACTGGAACCGAACAGGGCTTTCTCTCAGAGTCGGGCCCTTTAATGAAATAGCTAGAGCAGGAAGAAGGGCATGTGTGTGGTGGCGGGGGAGGTTATGTGCACGTGTGCATGCATCTGTATCTACCTATAACAAATTGGCATGTATATGGTAGTATATGGTAGTTTTTCATGGATTTTGATTGATTCAAAAGTGTCAAGTAAAAATTATTTTCCCCTTCTATTATAAGATACCGTGATTTTGACTTTCTCCTTTCAACCATGTGTTTATGTACCTATTGTTGTTTGTACCAGAAGTTAAAGGCATAAAAGGGTAAATGTATGGATGTCCCCCCTGCATTCCTCCTCCCTCTAAGGATTGACTCCAAAACTTCGCACATGCTGGGCAAGTGTTCTACCACTAAGCTATATACCCAGACCTTTTTTTTTTTTAATTAACTTTGAAATGTGATCCCATGAAGTTACCCAGACTGACCTTGAACTTTCAATAATCCTCCTCAGCCTCCCAATTATAGGCATGAGCCACTGTGCCTAGCAATACATGGAGTTTTAGTGTGTAGTAAAGTGCAAGAAAAGATGGATCAGGTGTCAGCACACAGAGAGGAATGTTAGATGAGGTCATGAAAGGGTGGACTGTATTGGTAGTTACTAGGGACTAATAATCATGTGGAATTTAAATTACTTGATTAACAGAAGGACTGGTAGTTATGTCTTTTTATGGCAAATGTGCCCACAAGTACCCAACTTAATTTGTGAATCTGTGAATGCATCCTTCCTATGTATTTTAGAATTTCTCTTCAATTTCAGCCAGGATTTTGCATTTTAGAGAATATGGGGTTATCTGGCTGCCTTCCTTGAAAGCTTACTTCTCACCTTGGTAATATGACTATTAAATAGAACAGTGTTTTCTGTTGAGCAATAACTACATTAAAATTATTGTCATAGTATGGTACTATACTATGATGTAGCCAGTTAAAATTTTGACTAAATGGTTATTTATTAATTTTAGAACTCCAGAAGTTAGATGTTTTGTGACTAAATGCTTAATTCCAGTAGTTGCACATTTTACCTCTTTCCTGAACATCAATTAATAATAAATACATTTAACTAGAGTTCTAAAAAGCTGAGATTTCACTATACATTGAATAACTGAACTTTCATTTTGTAGTGGTTGGCAATGATGAATTCAAATAGAATATGTTGTGTTGACTTGTATGTATTTAACATGCAAAGTCCAGATAATTTCCATTTCTGCCTTCATGTGGATTTGATGCTTATAATTCTTTGCAAAAGTGATTTTTTCCCTACCATAGAATACTACAGAATAAAAYTGACTTTTATTAAAAAGGGTTATTGCTCATTAATACATCAGAGAACATAATAATTTTGAAACAAGAATCAGAAGTAAATGTTCATTATGATCAAAATGACTAGATCATTTTTATTTCTAMCACAAATGATATAACTGCTTAGACTTTATGGTTTCTTATGTCACGCCTTGTGGTAGCATCTCTTTGTTTTAAAATTGGGGTGGACATAAAAAAAAAAAGCAACATCAATATTTGTCTTATAGAAGAGCACATTTCTCCCCCTATATTCATCTAAGGAAAATTATTGGCATAAACAACTTAATATTTTAAATAAGATTTAAAAGAACAACAGCAACTGTTATTTATTGAATACATGCTTTGTGCCAAATTATTGCTTTTTTTTTTTCTTATGAGACTCCAAAAGCATGTTTTTTTTTTGTTTGTTTGTTTGTTTCTTTCTGTGCCAGGGATTGAACACAGGGGCACTTAACCACTGAGCCACATCCCCATCCCTTTTTTATATTTTATTTAGAGACAGGGCCTCAYTGAGTTGTTGAGGCTGGAGTTTAACTCATGATCCTCCTGTCTTGGCCTCTGGAGCTGTGGGGATTACAGGCCTGTGCTATCGCACCCAGCTAAAAGCATGTATCTTTATGCACATTTTATTAGGACACTGAGATTCAGAAAGTTTAAGTAATTTGCCTAAGGTCACATAGCTAATAAGGGAGTGAGAAAGAATTTGAAGGTAAAGTCTCAAAAGTAATATGGAAAGGGGCTGAGGTTGTGGCTCAGCGGTAGAGTGCTTGCCTCACATGTGCAAGGCCCTGGGTTCAATCTTCAGCACCACATACAAATAAATAAGTGTATTGTGTCCAACTACAACTAAAAAATAAATATTAAAAAAAAAGTAATGTGGAAAGAAAAAGAAAAAATGTCTCACAAGTCCACACTTTCTAATCATGAACTATGATATAGAATTTTCTAGTTTTTCTTAGCAATTAGATAACTCTATCAACTCTATAATATTATTGGAATGTTGCTGAACTATAAGAAATTTGTAACTTGCAAAGGACACAATAAAGAGTTCAGGTTTGTTAGAATGTGTTGCTTCAGCATAGTTTGCATATGAAATAAGTACTTTATCTTTACTTGTTTAAATGGATTATACTGAACAATTTTGATGTTAAGATTTTTATGTGGTTAGCTTAACCTGTTTTTCCTGAAAGTAGATGGAGATCATATTAATTATTAGCATTGCATTGTTTTACAATTTTCTGCCTTGGTGTAATAAATGTTTAATTTACGCTGGTTGAGTTTGTGAAATGGTATTTTAAATAAAAAAATCTAGCTGGCTCTTGAAAATCATGGTAAGAGAAAACATGAACAAAATGTGAATATACATAGAAATATTGTCTTTGTTCTAGCTTTGCCAATAAATACAGGAATTTTTTACAGTTTACAACCCCATTGTATTAATGCATCTTCGCTGGCATCCTAAATTTCACTATCTATTATAAATGCCTGGCAGAGGCTCATACCTTGTCAGATGGGGCCATCTTTGTTTTGCTTTTCCTGTGCCTGTCTTCTCTGATACAATAATTTGTCCTTTGTAGAAGGAAATGGTATTTGTGCAGCCCCGAGTTTGGTGGCACAGAAAGTCAACATTTTCCACTAAAAAACAGTTTTCTGTGTGTGTGTGTGTGTGTGTGTATTTTTAAATTGTAAAAGTAATATACTCAACCAATAATCTATTCCTACATATCTACTGAAGAGAATTGAAGAAACATGTTCCCACAAAAACTTGCACACAAATGTTATATTATTATTATTCATAAGAGCCAAAAAGTGGAAATAATCCAAATGTCTATYAGTGGATAATGAGTAAATAAAATGTGGTAATATCTATTCAATGGAATATTTCTAAGCCATATAAAAAAAGTACTAATGTATGCCACAACATAGATTAAAAAAAATGTTTTTAAGGTTTATCCAAGTGAAAGAAGCCAGACACATAAATCAGCATATTGTACATTCTATTTGAAATGACCAGAGTAGGCAAGTCTGTAAGACAWAGTAGATTAGTGGTTACTAGGGGTTGGAAAGGGTGGAACAGAGTGGAATGGAGAGTGACTGCTAATGTTATAGATTTTTTTTTTTTCTTTTTGGTACTGGCGATTTAACCCAGGGTTGCTTTACCACTGAGCTACAGCCCCATCCATTTTTATTTTTTATTCTGAAACAGGGTCTTGCTAAATTGCTTAGAGCCTCCCTAAGTTGCTAATTTACTGAGGCTGGCCTGGAACTTGGAATCCTCCTACTTTAGCCCCTTGAGTTGTTAAGCGTACACCTGTAATCTTAACAACCCAGCTAGATTTCTTATTGGGGTGATGAAATTTTTCTGGAATTAGATAGTGTTGATGGTTACTTTGTGAATATCACCAATATGTATAGTCAAAAAGGATGAATTTTATGGTAAGTGAATTACGTCTTAATAAAAGTGTTAAAATTTAATATACTTGTGGAAACTTTCAAACATACAGAAATATAAAAAGAAGAGGAAAGAAATAATTTTCTAAAGACAGTCCCTTCATATTTTAGAATATTTATTCAAGTGGGTTTTTTTTAATATGCACTTTTCCCAAAGTCATGATAGTACATAACA